CACCTCACCACTCCCATAGTAAAGAACTTCCCCCTCACATCCGACCTCATTCTTCCCTCCCTCAACTCCAAACCATTTCCCCTTGGTCCTGCTGTTATCTCCCCTTTCCAAGCGTTGACTCCCAAGTCCTCTTTATAGGCTCCCTTTAGGTACAGAAAGGCTGCACTGAGGTCACCCCACAGCCTTCTCTTCTCCCGGCTGAACGAGCCCAGCTCCCTTAGCCTGTCTTTGTAGGGGAGGTGCTGCATCCCTCTGATCATCTTTGTGGCCTCCTCTGGACCCTCTTCAATAGCTCCCTGTCTTTCTTAAGACTTAGTGATGCAGCTTAGAGGTCTTTTCCAACTTCAATGATTCTGTAACACTATAACAGGCAACTGCTGGCAGACATCATCCTGAGAGACCCGGGGTGTGGGGGGAGCACAGCGGTCAGTGGACGATACCCAACACCGCCCAACCTGCAGCTGCTGCCATGGAGGATGTGGAGTCACGCTTTGCACACCTTCTGCAGCCCATCCGTGACCTCACCAAGAACTGGGAGGTGGACGTGGCTGCACAGCTCGGGGAGTACCTGGAGGAGGTGAGGGTTCTGTAATGCTATGGGCACAAAGAGAGTTTTTGTCGCTGCTTGTGGTTGCTGCTCACACCCCAGCGCAGCTCCTGCCTGTCCCAGGGCTGCCTGGATAGCTGATGTGTGTGGTTGTGAAATCCAGCAGTCTCTCACATCTGTCCCTTCTGAGTGTTCACTGCTTTTAGGGGGTGCTGGGGATGTTGCTTCTTGCAGCGTGGCTGTGGAGAAGCTCCTTGGGCTGTGGTCAGGAGGAAGGGGCTGGGCTGTGTTTGGTGGTGCCCAGCACCAGGACAAGGGGCAGCGGGCACAGGCTGGAGCCCAGGGAGTTGTGTGTGAGTGTGAGGAAGAGCTCTGTGCTGTGAGAGTGGCAGAGCCCTGGCACAGCAGCCCAGACAGGTAAGGGAGTCTCCTGTGCAGAGATCCAAACCTGCTGGGTTGTGCAGCTGCTGCAGGAAACAGCTGAGTGAGAGCTGAAATGAGGGAGCTGCACAGGTCCCTTCCAGCCCCCGCAGCTCTGGGGTGCTGTGAACAGGATGCTTTCCCTCTCTGCATTCACTTAGCAGTTTTGTTGCCCTGAACATCACGTTAGTTGCACTGCTAATATCTGGATTTTATCCTTTTGTTGTGCTGCTCTCAAATCAATTCTGGGAGTCAGCGCTTCATTTTCTTTTTTTCTTCTGTATTTTTCAGCTGGACCAAATCTGTATTTCCTTTGATGGTGGCAAAACAACCATGAACTTCATAGAGGCAGCTCTGTTAATTCAGGGCTCTGCCTGCATCTACAGCAAGAAGGTGAGCACTGAGGGCACTGCCACATCATAGTCCTGGGGCTGAGGTTTGTGCAGGAGCTGCCTGGGGAGCGGTCCTGGAGCTTGAAAGGCTTGGTTGTAATAAAAACCAATGGGTATAATTTCTGAATCCTGCCCCTTTATGTGTGCTGGCATTGGCAAACCAGAAAATCTTGGAAAGAAAACAAGAATTTGCTGCTCAACTTCTTTCTAGAGGGTGAAATATAAGGGGGAAAAAAGAGAAAACTAACCAACAGTAACCAACAGTAACCCTCTCCTTTCCCAAACTTGCACTCCAAATGGCTTGAACTGGGAAAAGAATAAAGGGAGTTATGGACAAACTGAGCTCTGGTTGTCTGAGGATAAGAGGAGGGCTGTGGCCATCAGCTGGAAGGAGTTGCTTTCTCTGTCTCCAAGTCTGGCTCCTATTTTGCAGGTGGAGTACCTGTACTCACTGGTCTACCAGGCACTCGACTCCATCTCCAACAAGAAGTGAGTAATGCCCTCCATCCTCTGGACAGGCCACCTGTGAAGGGGCCAGGATCTGCCTGCATGATTTCACTGTAGTTGCAAAGAAGGTGGCTGTGTGCTTCTTGCCTGCTTGTCCCCTCCCCCATTGCAGCACCCTGCTGAATTCTCTTCCCTGAGGGCAGTCATTTGCTTCAGCAACCGACCTTCCTATTGCAGAGTTGGTCTCAGGACCTGTAAAAAGTTCTCTGAACCTTTGGGTTTCTGTGGGATGGTGTGAGAGGACACAAAAATTATTAGGGGCCTGGAGCACCTTTCTGATGAGGAGAGGATGAGAGCCCCGGGGCTGTACACGTGGAAGAGAGAGAAGGCTGAGGGGGTCTGAGCAGAGCTGGTGGATATCTGAAGGCTTGGAGGTGAGGAGGAAGGGGCTGGGCTGTGTTTGGTGGTGCCCAGCATCAGGACAAGGGGCAGCAGGCCCAGACTGGAGCCCAGGGAGTTGTGTGTGAGTGTGAGGAAGAGCTGTGTGCTGTGAGGGTGGCAGAGCTCTGGCACAGCTGCCCAGAGAGGTGGGGGAGCCTCCTTCTGTGCAGAGATCCAAACCTGCTGGGATGCTCTGTGTGCTGCTGCTGCAGGGGTAGGAAGCTGGACTGGGTGACCTGCAGAGCTTCCTTCCAACCCCTGTGGTTCTGCAGAAGGCCCCAGCAGGACTTATTTCAGCTTGGAGGGCTTGGCCAAGCTCTTCCCCCAGAGCTCTTCCAGTGCCTTTGTGCTGTGGTTTTCTTACAGCACTCTGCTGTTGTGTAAGGAGAGGGCAGAGCCCAGCATCCTGCAGAATCCAGTGTGCAACAGCCTGGCCTACATGGCAAAGCAACTTGTGATTTATTTCTCCACTGCTGCTGAGATTAGGGCACTGCTTTTGCTGTCACTGTTTCCCAACTGTCTTTCATAACTTGTCTGCTGCCAGCCTGGCTCAAGTTCAGACCGTGGTTCCCACTAAGGAGGGATCAGCTTACAACAGGCAGTTCTGTCTGCCTGCAAACAGGTTTTCTGTAACGAGATGGGTGTTTTGTTTTTTGAGAAGAACCATATAATGGTTTGGGTTGGATGGGATCTTTAAAGGCCTCCTGGTCCCACTGCCTGCATGAGCAGGGAGCCCCACAGCTCCATCAGTGCTCAGAGCTGCGTGCAGGGATGGGGCAGCACCAGCTGTGTGAGCAACCTTCCCTCAGCCCAAAACCTTGCTCCAATCCGTCTTAGCTGGCAACAGTCTCCCCTTGTCCTATCACACAGACACTGCTGAAGAGTCCATCCCCTTCTTTCTCACAGCTCCCTTTGTTTTCTTTCCTGGGCAGCAGCAGAGGAGCACCAGGAGCACCCATGGCAGCTCCTTGGGCACGAGCTGATGCTGTTCACGGCTGGCTGATGGTGCTGACAGCCACGCTGTGCTCTTCACTCTCCTGCCTGTGGTGCTTGGGGTGCTTCTGCTTCAGGGTGATGCTGGAACCTCCTCGCTTGCTGCGTGCAGTGCAGCTGGAGGAAAACTGCCACTGCTTTGCCTTTGGCTGGACCTCTGACTGTGCCTTTGCTCCTTTGATGCAGGAGGGAAAAGCAGCCCTGCTCCGTGGGACCAGATGGCAAGGATGCAGATGCAACCTTTGGGATGGAGAAGGAAGAGGTGAGGAGGCGGTGGTGGGTGTGCTGCTGCTGCTGCAGGTGTGCTCTGTGTGTGTTGTGCTGCTGCAGAGGGTGTTCAGCCCTGCAGCTGCCTGTTCCTGCACCCAGGCAAGGCAGGAGCACTTGGAGAGGTTCCTGTTGTGAAATTTCTGTGCTGGCCTCCACAGGACAGGACCTGCTGCCTTGCAGCTTTGCTGGGAGAGTTTATTCCCTCTGCTCCATTTAGAGATCTCTACCCTGAGCTTCAGCCTTCCTTTGACCTGGGTGGGCTGACAGTTGGGCAGAGAGGAGCCTGATGAGGTTCACCAAAGGCTATGCCTGGGGAGGAAGAACCACAGCATCGGGACCTGGGTTGGGGCTGAAAAGCTGGAAGGGAGCTCTGCTTAGAAGGACCTTGTGGTCCTGGTAGCCAACAGCCTGACCATGAGCCAGCAGTGTGCCCTGGTGGCTCAGAAGGGAGGGTGCTCATCCCCTTTGCTCAGCCACTGCAGGGCCCCCCAGTTCCAGGCAGGCTGGAAACTGCTGATGAGAGCCCAGTGGAGTGCTGTGGAGATGGTGGGGTCTTGGAGCATCCCCTGATAGGGACAGGCTGAGAGCCCTGGGGCTGTGCACCTGGGGAAGAGATGGCTGAGGGGATCTCCACAGGTCCTTTCCAATGTTTCTGTGATTCCTCCTATAAGTGCTGTCCAGAACAGCCCAGAACCTCAAAAGCCACAGCTGTTCTCCCAGCCAAGGGGTTGCCCTGTGTCCTCTCTGCTCCATCAGGGCCACGAGGTCCCCAAGGGATACAATGGCACAATGAAAGTAGCCCTGTTGGTCACTGCTGTGGTCCTCTCTCTCTGCAGTTCCTTTCCCTGGATGACATCAGCAACACCAGCCAGGCCAGTGTGGACTTGAAAATGGACCATCAGCCCAGTGTAAGGGAAGCTGCTGTTGTCCTTCTGGCCTCTCCTCCCTCATATCAGGCTCTCCTCACTGAATCCCTGCTGCCTGCCCAGCAGAGCTCTTTGACTCCTGTTCTCTTGCAGGCTGTGAATGTTGTTCCCTTGACTCCAATGTCTTTGGTTCCCCCAGAAGAGGCTGAGAAGACAAACAACCCTCTGTTCAGGTGAAAGTCCCCCAGCCTTCAGCTGGCCCCCATCTTGCTTCACAGCACAGTCTGACTCTCCCCATTCCATGGCAGAAAGGTTATTCCTTTTCCCCTGGCAGGCAGGGAGGAAGGAAGAGTAACCCCAAGTGCACTGAGATGTGGGGCTGGGTCCTGTGGATGCAGGACAGAGGGAGTGGCGAGGCAGGGGCTGCTCTGGGGTGGGCAGGCAGGGCTTTGCATGGCCAGGGAAGCCAGAGAATGGCAAGTGGGGACAGTCTGCATTCCTGTTGGCATGGGGATGCCTTGGATCTGCTCCCTCTGCCCTGGGGGGCTACGGAGAGCTGACGGCCCCCATGTCTGCAGCCGGAAGGGGGAGATCCTGGCCAGCAGGAAGGATTTCAGGATGAACACGTGCACCCCTCACACCAGTGGAGCCTTCATGCTGGAGCTGGCAGGGCTCTCCCCAATGTGTCTGCAGGATCGGCACCGTGAAGAGAACAACGCCGCTGGGGCAGTAGGTACAGTGCTGGGGTGAGGACCTGGACTCCCCATCTTGAGGAGTGGGGCTGTGGGCTGCACAGAGCAGGAAGGCACTGCTGGGGTGGCTTCCCTTCTGTCTCGAGGGAGGATGTGAGCAAAAGCAATGAGAACAGCCCAGCTCCTTGGGCACGGGAGATGCTGCACTGCCTTTCCTCTGCCTCCCTGCCTTAAGCCAAAGATTGCTGACCCCTTGAATGGGGTTTGTGCCCTGGGCTGTGCTGGGGAGGCCTTCGGCCTCAGTAGGAAGGAGCAGCACCACAGCTGCTCTGTGCTGGCATCTGAAGCCCTGTGGGCAGAGCGCAGTGACCACATTTCTGTCCCTTGGCAGGGGCACCATCCTCTGTGGTCGGTGGGAGGGAATCCCTACGTGCGAGCACCGGAGCGATGCCTGTCCAGGCACTGAACTTCTCAGATGATGGAGGTGAGACGTGCAGGATCAGTGGGCTCTGTCCCTCCATCCTGCTGGGCTGGGCTGTCCTGCCTTCAGGCAGAGTGGGGTGCTCCTGCTCTGTCCCCTGACCTGTTTGTTTGCCATGGTTTGCGAAGTAAAGCCCCTTCCTGAGGGAAAATCCTCTTTGGGTGGAGCAAGAAAAGGGAGATCCTTGATGATCTCATGGCTGCTGACCGTTTGCTCGCCCTGCCAGGTGCTGCAGGACCAGATGATGACCACGATGGTGGGGATGACTTGCCTGCAGACCCTGAGGACAACATGGAAGCGACTCCAGCTGCCAATGAACGCATTGAGCCACAGCGGGTAGGGCAGGCAGGGCTCGGTAAGGCCCTGGAGCCTGGCTGCTCTGTGGCTCACTGCCTGATGTTCCTTCTTCTGTGTCTGCCAGAGTGTGCCCCAGGTGAAGGGTTACGTGCTGCGGCATCGAGCCCCTGCTGAGGACCTTCAGCCCCACATCAAGGTAAGGGGTGGGGGTGGACACAGAGAAAAGCAAATCCTAGAATCATGGAGCTGGGAAAAGACCTCAAAGAAAGAGAAATCCAACTGTCAACCCATCGTCACGATGCGCTCTAAACCATGCCCCCAAGTGTTGCTTCTTCATGCCTCTTGAGCACCTCCAGAAGTGGGGATTCTTCCACTGCCCTGAGCAGCCTGACCACTCCTTTGGAGAAGGATTTCTGTTTTTTTTTTTTCCCCTGATACCCACCCTGACCTCCCCTGGTGCAACGCAAGGCCTTCACCTCTTGTCCTTTTGAAGCCTGCATGCTGTGGGAAGCGCTCTGCACTGCGCTTAGTGCTGCACCAATACCCACGGAAGGGTTTGCAGAGCCACACAGCTGCAGCGTGCCCCACGGTGCTCTGCCAGTGCTCAGACACCCTCGCTTCTTCCACCAGGAGATGCTGGATCCCTGGCAAAGCCTTGACCCCTTTGGTGACTCTGAGGACAAACCCTTCAGGAAAGGTATTTGAGGTGGGGCTGTGGAAGAGCATCTGCTCCCCTGCCTTGGGGCTGCTCACCTCCAAAGGGTGGAATGGGATTCTCCCTGCAGATCATTTCCTTCTGCCCCGCAGGGAGGCCCTTCCTGGTGCCACATGGCGTGGATGACGTGGTTGGTAGCAAGAGGAAAAGGAAGGGATCCAGAAAGCTTCAGGACTTCTTGAAATGGTTTTCTGCCACCTGTGAGTGTTGTGGCTGGACTTCACCTGGGTGCTGTCTGTTCTCTTCGCTGGATTGCACCTGTAGGGGTTTCTAACTGCAATCCTGTTCCTCTCAGATAACAACAGTGCTGACTGCAGGAAAACCAGGAGGAAAGGACCGACGTTTGCTGGTGAGTTGGGGTGCAGGCTGCAGTGATGCACAGGGCTCCAGGTGCAGCAGTTGTGCTGTGAAGCCCTCGTGGGGTCAGGTTTGCAGTAATCCTTACTGGGGTGACTGAGAGCTGAAACACCTTGGAGAAGGGGCACCCTGCAGGCTGCAAAGCTCAGGTTGCTGCGGCGAGGCTGTGTGAGGGCTGAAGCAAAGGACATAGGAGGAATGAGCAGTTTGACAACTTAAGACGGGTGAGGATTTGTTGTGTTTAATGTTCACAACACAGAAATCCGTGACTTCCAGTCCTGCAGCCGTTCCTCACTTGAAAAGCAGCCTCTAAACGTTGCTTACGTAGAGCCTTGCCCCTTTTTTTGCTGCAAAACCTCTTCCACGTTCAGGGAGGCTGGGGAGCTCCCAGCTTGTTGGCGCAGCAGTGGTGTGACATGCAGAGAGAAGGACGGGCGCTAAGGCAGGGCTGCAGCTCCAAAATCACACTGGGGGGGTGGGGGGGGAATCCAGGCAGCCACAGCCTTTCAAGGGGCTGCAGGTGGGTGTTGATCTGTGCCTGTGTTGTCTGTGCAGATCTGGATGTGCTGTACTGGAAGCAGCAGAAGGAGCGGCTGGCGGCACAGAGGAAGCTGCAGAGCAGGATGGTGAGCATCTGCAGGAAGGGTTGGGGTTATGGTGGGAAACACGCTGGGCAGGGGCTCAGTGCTGCTTTTCCCCAGGGCCCACCCTTGTCACTACCACCAGAGCATGAGGAAGAGGAGGAGGAAGAGCTGGATGCGCTGGAGGAGGAGCGGGGCAACGAAGAGGATGGGGAAGCAGCGGGTACTGCTGGAGCCCCCAAGGGCTGAGCTGCTGTGGGGGCCGTGGGAGGTCCTGAGCACGGTCTGCTCTTCCTGCAGATGACTTTGTGGAGCACGAGGACATCCAGGAGGAGGATGTGGAGAATCTAGTCGAGAAAGCTATGGGTGAGCCCCTGGGGGAGCTGGGAGGAGGGTACCCCATCCTTCAGCCACTGCGGCACGTCCTGAGCAGCCGCAGGGTTCTGGCTTTGTGTCCCACCCATGGGGAACATGCGTCCCTGTCCTCACCTGGTGGCCCAGGACCAGGCACACAGTTTTGCCCCCACCACCCTGGTGACACTGCCCTCTCACAGCTCCCTGTGATGCGGACGCGCTGAGCTATGAGGAGCTGGTGAGGAAGAACGTGGTAAGTGCTGCGCCTGAGCTCAGGGCAGGGGGACAGCGTGGGTGCCGTAGGCGTCCCTCATCCCCATGTTGTCCTCTTCCTCATTCTCCCTGTGTCCCTTTGTACCTGCAGGAGCTGTTCATTGCCAATTCCCAGAGGTATGTACAGGAGACAGAGCTCTCCCAGCACATCCGCCTTTGGGAGGACAAGATGGGGCCGGCGCTGCAGGAGCAGGTACATTGCTGATGGAGTTGGGGGGACCAGCAGTGGGGCTGGAGGGGGAAGCAGAGACTCACCCTCCTGTCTTGCAGGAGGAGCGCACGGCCTTCGACATCCACAGCTATGGGGACAGGCTGGCAGCTCGCTTTGGCAGCCTGGGTGAGTGGCAGTCCTTTGCCAGCCTGGTGGCCGGCCTGCCCCCCTTCGAGGTGTGCCGCTACATGCTGGCCTCATTGCAGCTGGTGAGTGTGGGAGGGAGCTCCTGGGGGGGGGACAGGAGGAGGGGGAAAGGGGTCCCTGCTGCAGCCCCCCCCGGTCCCTGCTGCAGCCCCCCCCGGTCCCTGCTCCTCTCCCCAGGCCAATGACTACACCGTGGAGGTGGCACAGGACCCAGGGCTGGAGGAGGCGGTGGACACAGTACGGCTGCGGCTGCTGACACGGGAGCGGGCACACGAGCGCTTCCGCACCTACGTGGCCCCTTCAGCCTGCCCATGAACCCCTCACCCCTTGTTTCCCCCCCATCCATTCTGTACAGCCCCCATCCCCTACGATCCCCCAGCACCAGGGCTCCCCTTGCTCCCAGCAATAAACCTCCCAACTTTGGTTAAAGTCGGCCTTGTTTTTGGGGACGTGAACAAAGCATCCCTGGGGGGTTTATGGAAGCAAGAAGAGTCCCTTTGGGGGCTTCCCCTGTCCTGGCAGGGCTGCAGTCCTCAGTCAAGCAGTGGCTCGTAGCTCTCCATGTGTCGCCGCACGCTCTCAGCGATCTTGTCAGCCGTCTTGCTGCGGTTGTAGTAATCCAGGAAGAGCCCATCGGGGCCCAGCAGGTAAATGACGATGGTGTGGTCCACAATGTAATCACCATCCTCATCCTTAGGCCCGGCGCTGGCATAGACGCGATAGGCGCTGCTCACCGCCCTCACCTGCTCAGGGCTCCCCGTCAGCCCCAGCAGCCGCGGGTGGAAATCCCGCACGTAACGTCGCACCGCGGCCACATCGTCTCGCTCGGGGTCCACAGTGATGAAGAGCGGCTGCACCCGGGGCAGAGCCGCGTCGCGGTCCAACAGCTCCACCACCCGGCTCAGTTTCTCCAGCTCATCCGGACAGACGTCGGGGCAATGCGTGAAGCCGAAGTAAAGCAGCACCCACTGGCCGCGGAAGTCGGCTTTGCAGCGGGGCTGCCCGCGGTGATCCACCAGCTGGAAGTTGCCTTGCCCCAGCGCCAAAGCTCGCAGTTCCCGCTGCCGTCTCTCCCGTCGCTCCCGTTCTTTGCGGGCCCGCAAATACAGCCACGTTCCCCCAGCCACGCTCCCCACCGCCGCCACTACGGCCAAGCGGTGGCCCAGGGGCAGTGACCGGGTCGGACCCCCCCGAGCTCCGCTCAGCCCGCGGGATGGGGCTGGGAGCTGCGGGGGGCGGAGGGGGAGACGGCGCAGGCAGCGGGCGGGCAGCAGAGCCATGGCCGTGGCGGGGGGCTGCGGGGGAGGGGGCGGCCGTGAGAGTCTTACGGCGGCAGCCGCGTTCCCCCCCCCACTGTGTTCTGACCCCCCCCGCTGCTCTCTCACCCCATAGACCCCCCCGTCTCCTGGCTTCCTGCCCTACCTCTGTGCTCTCTGACCCCGCTGCCCATTGACTGAGCCCCATCTCTACGCCCTCCGTTGCTTTCTGACTCTGTTCTACACCGCAACAACTCCCCACCCCCCCAAACCCTCCTGGTGCCCTTTCACCGCCTCCCTCCCCCTCCCATCGCCCCACCGCCTCCCCGCAGCCCTCTGTCCCCCCGCCCCATCCCACCTGGCCGGCGCCGCAGCGCCCACACCCGGAAGTGACCCACCGGAAGGGGCGGGGCCATGCGACTCGCGGCATGCGCGGTGATGAGGCGGGGTCTTGTGCAGTTAACCGCTTACCGCCAGGGGCGTCATAGCGCTGCGGGATAGTGCGGGCCGCTCTGCCTAGCGCGCAACCATAGAGCGGAGAGGGATGGGAGGGAGCGCGAACCATAGAGTGCGGTGGGATAGAGGGGACACCACGGCCTCGTACTAGCTGCGGTTGCACAGCGCCCCACCCAGGTGGTGCAGCCACGGCGCTGATGGGCTGCGCTTACCCAAATGAGAACCCCAAAAAGGGGGACTCCAAAATGAGAACCTCAAAAGGGGGATGCCGAATGGAATCCTTAAAAAAGGGGACCCCAAAAATGAGAAACTGAACAGGGGCACCCCAAAAAATAGAGAACCTCAAGTGGGATCCCTAAAAAAGGAGACCCCAAAAATGCATACCCCAAGAGGTATGAAGACCCCAAATAAAACCCCAAAATAGGAACCCCAAAAGGGGAATCCTAAATGGAACCTCTAAAATAGGGGATCCCCATAATGAGAACCCCAAAAGGAATCTCTAAAGAAGAAGACCTCCAAAATGAAAAACTCAATAGGGGGGTCCTCAAATAGAGAACCTCGAGTAGGAACCCTAAAAAAGGAGACCCCAAAAATACATACCCCAAGAGGTATGAAGACCCCAAATAAAACCCCAAAATGGGAATCCCAAGAGGGGGACCACAAACGGAATCCCTAAAAAAATGGACCCCCAAAATGAGAAACTCAATAGGGGGACTCCAAATAGAGAACCCAAAAGGGAAATCTCAAATGGGACCCCTAAAAAAGGGGACCCCAAACATTGGAACCCCAATAAGAGGGCTCCAAACGGAGACCTCAATAGGGAGACCCCAAAATTGGAACTGCAAAATGGGAATCCCAAAAGGGGGACCCCAAAAAACGCAAACCCCAATAGGGAGAACCCAAAGGGGAGAACTCCAAAAGGGAAACCCTAAATGGAACCCCTAAAAAAGTGAACCCCATAATGAGAACCCCAAAAGGGAACCCCCAAACGGGACCCCTAAAAAAGGGGGCCACCCAAAATGGAGACCCCAGATGGAGAACCCACAATGGGACCAAATTGAACCCATAAAAAAGGAGACTCCCAAAATGGAAACCCCAAAAAAGGGGACCCGAAAAGGGGAACCCCAAAAGGGGAAATCTAAATGGAACCCCTAAGGGGACCCCCAAAATAAGAACCCTAATAGGAGGACACCAAACGGAGACCCCCCAAAATGAGGGACCCCAAAAAGGACCCTAAAAAAAGGGGAAATAATGGGGGATTTGGGGCACTTAATAACAAAAATATTAAATGTTATCAGTCATAATTGTGTTGCCAATGACACGTAGTGGTACAAGGAATTGGGGCACTAATAATAATATTAATAATAGGGCAATCATCGACGATAGGAAATAGAGTGGCCAAAGTGGTGGTAATGAAGGGGTTGGGGCACTTAATAATAAAAATAAGAAGTAATGCATTAATAAGAGTATGGAATGTGATAAATTTGGGCAGAAAGCAGGAAAATATTGCTGCTAATAATAATGGGGTATTAATCAGCATCGGAAACATGGAAATGGTGATAATGGGGAGCTGAGGCAGTAATAATGGTGACAATATTAATTAATGTTAATATTCATAATAATGGGATAAGAATAAAAAATAGTGTTGAAATGGGCAAAGTTGGGCAATCATAATAATAGTAATAATAATGTTAATAATAAACGTAGTGATAACAATGGGAATTATGGGGGATTTGGGGCAATAACCATAATGTTGTTATTAATAAAATTAATCCCATTAGCAATCTTAATGATAAGATTAAATAATATTATGGTGTTGTTTTATATTATTATATTCTCTGAAGATGTTGTATTAATGCAAAACGATACATTATTATATAACGATTGTTATTAATATTAATATTAATATTAATATTAATAACAAAGGATAACAGTATAAAAGATAATGATAACGGTAATAATAGCCACGAAGACAATAAAAATAACAAGGTCAGTAATAGTGAATAGAAAAGGATGAAAAAAATAATAATATTACTGATGATGATAATAATAAAAGTGATATTAAGCACTAATCAATCAATGCCAAGCAACGCGACCGGAAGCGGAAGAACCCGCCCTAGTCCTGCTCTCAACCAATAGCGAGCGGGAGTGAGGAGAGCGCAGCCAATCGCTGCAGGCAGGGGGCGGGAGGGGCGTTTCTTAAAGTGGCCACGTTGGTGTGGCCCGCCTTAAAGCGGCAAGGCTCCTCCCAACCTCTCCCGTCACGGAACGGGGGCGTGGCGCGCTGTATGCAAATGAGATGCTAATGTGGGAGGAAGCGTGTTTGGAGGGGAGCAGCGAAGGGTGCTGGAGAGGGGTGAGAATGGAGGGAGGGGTCCATGAGGGGTTCTTGTGGGGCTGCAAAGGGGTTATGGGGTCTTCATGGTGGGTTCCTGGAGGGGGGCTTCATGGTGGGCTTCGTGGTGGCATCTATGGGGGCTTCGTGGTGGCATCTATGGGGGCTTCATGGTGGCTTTGTTGTGTCTTCATAGTGGGGTCTTGAGTGGGGTCTTCATGGTGGGGTCATGGTGGCTTCATGGTGGCATCTGGGGGGGCTTCATGGTGGCTTCTGGGAGTCTTTGTGGGTAATTTATGGTGGGATTGCGGTGGCATCCTGGGGGACTCCATGGTGACATCGTGGTGGCATCATGCTGGCATCTTGGAGGGCTTCACAGTGGGATTGTGGGTGCTTCCAGATGGCATCTCGGTGGCTTTATGGGGTCTTCATGGAGGCTGCACAATGGCCTCATGTCTCCCATCCCCCTCCAGCTCCCCACCCTACCCTGCGGTGTCACTTCTCCTTTCCATGGGGCATAGGGACCAGTTCCTCTTTCGGTCCCCGTTTTTGTTGTTGTCCCCACCCTGTGTCCCCAGGGATGGCTGATGTCACTGTGTGACCCACGTGACACTTTTGGGGTGGTGGGGTTTGTGGGGTGAGCGGAAGTGGCTGAGTGGGGTGGGACAGGTCACCCTAAAGAGCACACATGGAGGGAGACCAGAGGTGACCATGGGTGACAATGGGTGACAGGCAACCATGGGTGTTGAGTGACTAGGGGTGACCAGAGGTGACTGTGGGTGACCAAAAGTGACAAGTGACCTTGGATGCTGAGTGACCAGGGTTGACCAGAGGTGACCATGGGAGACCCTAAGTAGCAGGTGGCCATGGGCAATAGGTGACCAGAGGTGACCATGGTGACAGATGACCATGGGTGACCATTGGTGGCCATGGGTGACAGGTGACCACCAGCTGGGTGGCTGGGTGACCATAAATGGCAGATGAGGAGGGGGTTAGGTGACCATGGGCAATCAGAGGTGACCATGGGTGACAGATGACCATGGATGTTGGGTGGTCATAGGTGACCAAACGTGACCATGGGTGTAAGGTAACCATGAGTGACCAGAGGTTGTCATAGGTGACAATGAATGACCACGGGTGACCGTTGATGGCTGTGGGTGACACGTGACTATGGTTGATAGGCGACCATGAGTGATGGGTGACCAAAATTGACCAATGAGTGACCAGTGGTGATCATGGGTGACAGATGACTGCGGGTGGTGAGAGGTGACCATGGGTGACTTGACAGGTGACCATGGGTGATCATGGATGAGCAGAGGTCACAGATGACCACAGGTGACCAGAGGTGACCATGAGTGACCATAAGTGACAGGTGACCATGAGTGTTGGGTGACCAAAGTTGACCAGATGTGATAGATGACTAGAAGCAACCATGGGTGACCAGTGACCAGAGGTGACCAGAAGTGACCCCAAGTGACAGATGACCATGAATGATGGGTGACCAGAGGTGACAGCACCTATTGGATGACCACAAATACCCATCATTAACCACGGCATCTCCACGACTGCATCACACAGTTCCCCACGTGCCTCACCACGTCCTGCACCGTGTCACCTTCTCATCACCGCACGACCTCTGCTGGTGTCCCCTCCTGTCCTCGATGGCATCCCCGGTGCCTCGCCGCGTGCGCCTGCGCCCATGGTTGGTGGCCCAGGTGGACAGCGGCCGTTTCCCAGGGCTGCACTGGTTGGATGCGCGGCGTCGACTCTTTGTGGTCCCATGGCACCATGCCACGCGGCATTTCCCGGCACACGGCGGCGATGATGACACCGTCTTCAAGGTGATCCTGGATGACCCAACGGCTGGAACGACCGGAACCTGAGCTCTGGTGGCTCTAAGCCCAACCCTAGTGGCCCAAATCCCAATCCTAATGACCCTGACACAACACCGGTGGCCCA